CTGCAGGTGCTGGAAGGGGTCTTCTTCTGTCGTGGACCTCCTTCAGCATGTTTGTGTGTGGGGGCTGCTCCACAGAGGCGCAGAGGCTGGGTGGCTCATAAATAGAACTGTATTCCCTCAGCTGAGGAGGCTGGAAGCCCAAAATTGGGAATGTAGATTGATTATTTTGGACCCAAAAGAGGATGGGAGAGCCCTCTGGAGTCCTCGTTATGAAGACACCAATCTCATTCTTGATTCACTGCCATGACTTAACAGTTTCCAAACCCCAACATGTGAATTTTGAATTTTAAATGGACATACACTTTCAGTCCATGGAGAGATAGAGAGATAGTGATTATATATGTGTGTATATATATGTATATGTATATATGTGTGTGTGAGAGAAACAGATGGGGGAATGGAAAGGAGGAGGGAGGGAAAGAGAGAGAGAGAGAGAGAGAGAGAGAGAGAGAGAGAGAGAGAGAGAGAGAAAGAACATGGAAGATTGAGAAAATTCCTGCCAAGAACTAGGAATGCATTCGTCTTCTCATCCATATACCTTTGACCAGAAGTCAGATCCATAGTTCTACCCGAGATGTGCAAACAGCCGGAAAGTGTGTGTCCTAGATGAGAAGGAACTGGTGAAGCACAGCGTTCCTTAATGAGGAAACGAAGGTCCAGTGAGTCAGAGCTGGACACTTACACACTGCCTTAAACAAAGTGCAGTGAGCTGTGAGGCTGCAATGAGCGAGGGCTTTGGGGTGCAGGGACAGTTAGATGAGCAGGGGGTCCCTCCCCTTAGGCAACCAAGGTGGCAGAAAGGCAGATTTGGGGGTAGTATAATTTTATTTCCTTCAAAACATATTAGTAATGACTAACAACTTGAATGAAAGGATGAATGAGTAAATTAATAAGTTAATATAATTTTGAAAAATTGTTATCCAACTACTACTGTATCGTTGCCAACAAATGAAATATAAAAGACTGATCATCTAAAGAGCCCAGGGTACGTCAACAAATGTTCCTGTTGGAGAGAACGGCCCCAGAGTGTGTATTTTAATGGTGGTTTCACTTGTTATGTCTGCATTTCAGAACGGTTTTGTGTGGAGATGTCTTATGTGTGTTCCACGCCACTGGTTTATATGTTTTCAGATGGTGTCTGTAAACGGCTTCCTATGAAAACAGTGTTCCCAAAGACAGTAATTAACATTTTTGCATTGTCCTTCAGAACCAGACACACTATTTTGACTCAAAGTTAGAGGTTTATGTTCATAGGTAAACACAGACCACGGACTCTAACCCCGGTTACTTCCTGTGGCTGGACGTCTGTCTGTGCACTGTTGAGCCATCAGCAGCGAAGGACTCGTTCAGCTGCTGCCAATGGCAGTCCAGTCTCCGAGGAGTTTTTGTTTGTGTGTTCTCATCAAACTGTTTTCAGTCTCTCAATTAAGATTTTTCCACTTTCAGTCAACTTGTGTTGAGACGATTTCAGCAAACAGAATGTGTGTATGAGAACAGCGGGGCCCTCTGCATCCCCCTCATCCTCCACCTCATCCCGATGCTTTCTCTCCTTGTCTGCTGCATTATCTATTTCCCAGCCTCACAAGAATCAGTTAAAGAAATGGCATTCTAGCATACCTACATATGCCCAGTGTGTAGCTAAATATAACGCTACTCTTGGTTAAAAACAACCTACAATTGTACAAATAAATGTGTCTGATGGTACAGCAAGCCACCAATTTTCCTACTGTGTCTTTCCCTCTTTTGATTCACTATTCTAACAGGAAAACATGTTGCACAGAGCTGTCTTATATCCTAAGACTCCTTCCATATGAACAATCCCTACCCTTTATCTGCCTTTTGGGAGCTTGATCATTTTTTGAGAGTAGAAACCAAAACTCAAGAGACTGATCTCAAGCTCTGGACTGTCCAGGTATTCTCACAATCAGACACAAGGTCCATACAGCCAATGCAGATACCACCAGAATGACGTTCAGCTGTTTCCCACATATCTTATGGGAAGGCAGAGGGCACTCATCAACTGTTGGGGGCTGAACATGGGATATTGCCCCAGAGACTCCCATGCCAAAAGCTTGGTGGTGTTGGGAAGAAGTGATTCAGTCATGAGCTCACCCACTCCACAAATGGATGAATTCATTGATGAGTTTTGTACTGAATGGGCTTGGAGGAAGCATGGCCTAGTTGGATGAGGAAGGTCACTGTTGGGTGTGACTTTGAAGGGTATATCATGTCCTGGGCCCCTTTCTCTCTGCTGCCCATTGCTCCTGGATACCGTGAGTGACTGGCTTTGCTCCCCAGTGTGCTCCTTGCTGTGGTATTTAGCTTTGTGTCAGGCCCAGTGATGCTAGTCGACCTTGGATTGCAAATGCTGAAACCAGGGCCCGAGGTGGAACAAATCCTCCTGTCTGTAAGTCTGTCTCAGGCGTTATGTCATGGGGTGGGTGAAAAGCTAACCCACTTACCTCCTGCTTAACTTGTCAGACTCAGTCACTTGCTCTCTGCCGGGTTTCACCACAATAAAGCCACCGTTTTCTCTTTGTATCTGTCAGTATTTGGGGTGTATATGGAAAAGAAGTGTTGTGGCTGATACTTTGTACCTCACCCTGTAGCTAGAGTTTTTCTCTCTGGGTCCCGCCAAGCCCTGACAGTCCCGTAGCCCACTTATAAAATAAGCATACAGACACTTACATTATTTAAACTGCTCGGCCATTAGCTCAGGCCTACCAATGTCTAGCTCTTACACTTAACTCAGTCCATTTCTGTTAATCTATATGTTGCCACGTGTTCTGTGGCTTTACCTGCTGCCTTTACATGATGCTCCCTGGATGGCAGGCTGGCGTCTCCTCCTCTCCGCCTTCCTGTTCTCTCAATTCTCTTCTCTACTAGTCCCACCCATATTTCCTGCCTGGCTACTGGCCAATCAGTGTTTTATGTATCAATCAATCATGCACAGCATTACCCAGTCTGGGCTTACTGGCTTGGGCATTGGTGGCCGGCTTCTGTCTTCATTGGCCTCCTTTATAACAGCATCCACAAAGGTGGTTTTCTTTTTCCTAGTTAATCATCAGTATGAAAACTTGAAGAAAACCTCTTCTCCATTTGTTTATCTCTTTCCTCATCTTTTTAGATTATTCTTTCATTATGTTTTGTGATTGGTTACTACCTTGTTGTCAGTCTAGCCAATGGGAGACCTCCATGCTGATTCCTGTGTCTCCTTCACCCGTTCCCATAATTTTGCTTGCATTCTTTCTGACATAGAAAGTCATTGTAGGCTCACTTGGAGTTTCATTTTTTTTATATACCTGGGATCAGCTTACTCTAGGGACATCTGCTTCTTACTGGAACACTGGGATCCAGGTGTTTGGTGTACACATCCCTCAGGGGATGCCATCACATATAGGCTTTCTTAGTTGCCAGAGCGTACATTAATATGCACATATGTGCACACACTCAACTATTTCTATTTGTGTATATAATATATATGCACATACTCTCACATTTGCCTCTAATTTCAGTCCAATATCTCAATATTCTTCTCAGCTTTTTCTTATCCACAACTTGAATCCTTTTCTGGCAGCAAGATCCTATTTCACCCAATATATGATTTCTCATTTGTTTGATGTGAACAAGTTCCTTGATACACCAATCACTTCCTTGTCCCAAAGGCTACCAACTCCATGAGCTGTGTCCTTGGCAAATGCATGGTTTGGATCTTCAATAAATTTTTTCATTTATTATTTTATTGTTATTATTGTGTGTGTTTGTGTGGGTGTATGGTGGGGGTTCAGAAGACGAATCTCTCCCCCCACTTTTTTGTGGGTTCTGGGGATTGAACTCAGATTACAAGGTTACAGGACAAGCACCCTTACCAACTGAACCATCACTGGTCCAGTTGTCTTAATCTTAAATCCCCTCAAGAGAGACCCCGAAGTTTGCAAAGGTCAAATGACTCAATACCATGTGCTCAGATGAGACGGGTCCTTACCATACTAACCATCAGCACAGCCAGTTTCTATCTGGAACTTAACTGTGTACTGAGATCCCCACCAAATACTTCATATGAACAATTCTTTAAGTCATCAGGTTGCAAGGACGAAAGACAAAAACAGCTAAAGTTTTGTGTCATTTCCATGACAACAAACTTCCTTTCCTTCCCCACCCGTGACTCTCGGGCACTGGAGAGTCTATTTGATGTCAGCGGTTCTAATTGAAAAATGACTCCCCCTAAGAGTGTGGCTCTGCATTATGTATCTCACGGCTGTGGCAACCTGACAGAAGAAGCTGACAGGGAGGAAGGGTTTATCTGGGCTCACAGCATCATCGGGATCCAGCCGGGAAGCCCGCGATAGGAGAGGTCCTTACAAGTGCGAGCAGGTAGCAGAGCGCCTCTCTCTTCTGACAGTGACTCCGAGGCAGAGAAAACCAGATGAACTGAAGGTGGGAACAGCTTCCAGGGCCCATTCCGCTGATCTACGTCTGTCAGCTAGTTCCACATCTCAATGATCTCACAGCCTCCTGAGACAGTGACACCAGCTAGGGACCAAGGGACCAAACATCTCAGCTTATGGGGGAAAGAGGACTTCTCCTATTCAAACCAAAACAAAATCCCGTATCCACTGCCCGAGAAGCCTTATTAGGCAGTCTTTGGCAGGGCTGAAGATGTAGCTCAGCTGGGAGAGTGCTTGCCCTGCAAGCATGGGTGCCTGACTTCGGAAGCTCAGCACTCCCATAAAGATCCCGGCTAGGCAGGGCAAGTTTTTCTCCCCAGTGCCAGGGAAGTGTTTGTAGGAGAAGCCTTGGGGCTTGCGAGCCAGGCAAGTTCAGTCAGAAGCGCTTGTCTCAAAACCAAGGTGGAGAGTGATAGATGAACACTCCTGATGTGTACTTCTAGACGCCACAGCACCTACACGCATGTGCACTTGTGCACACGTGTGCACACACAGACATGCATGCACTTACAAAGACTCGTGGATACACACAGTGTAAAATCTTGGGGGGATGCGCTGCCTTTGAGCTCCCATTGTGCCTGCTCTGTGGCGCTGAGGGTTAAGGGTTAGCTTGACAGTGGCACATAACTAGGTCAAGCTTAACTAGGGCGGCCTGGCTATTGTGGGCGGTCCTTTTAAAAGAGCCTGACATTGTGGGGTGAGCTGCAGGCAGTTTTCAGCCCAGACACCAAAGCCTTGAAGTGGCCGAGGCCTGGGGACCACGGACTCAGTTGTGCGGCGAGTGCCCCATGTACATGCTTTGTTATCCTTGCTCAAGGTGCCGGCCATCCTTTGCTGTGTGGTCCCTGAGGTGCACAGGCTTGAAGTGGACCCGCAGAGAGGGAGGACTTGGGGTTAGGTCTGTAGTGGCTGGCGTTGACAGGGATTGATTGCGGCTGGAGGTGCAAGAACATAACTTCAGGAGTAGAGGTGCAGTGGCGTCCTGTTTACTAAAACCTTGAGGGCAGCCAGTTAGTCCTGCAGTTAATATAGGGAAGGACTTCTCTAGGGATGTAGCACAGTAGCATGCTTGCCATATCTGGTGTGCTGGTTGGTTTTATTTCGACTAGACACAAGCTAGACTCACCGGAGAGGAAGGAGCCTCAATTAAGAAAATGCCTCCAAAAGATCGCTCTGTAGGCAAGCCTGTAAGGCATTTTTCTAATTAGTGATAGATACAGGAGGATCCAGCCCATTGTGAGTGGGACTATTCCAGGCAGGTGAACTTGGGTTCTTTAAGAAAGCAGGCTGAGCAAGCCATGTGGATCCAGCCAGTAAGCAGCACCCCTCCATGGCCTCTGCATCAGCTCCTGCCCTCCAGGATCCTGCCCTGACTTCCTTCAGTGATGAACAATGATGTGGAAGTATAAACAAAATAAGCCCTTTCCTCCCCAAGTTGATTTGGTCATGGTGTTTCACCTCCACAATAGTAACCCTAACCAAGAAATCTGGGGTTGGGTCCCAGTACTGAAGAAAAAAAAAAGCAACCTATAAGGCTTTAATTATGCCAGAAAAATCCATCAATCAACATACTTAAATTAATACTAATAAAATGACACCAAATTATGTGTTTCAAAATACTACAGACAATTTTGAATGCTCCCAACCCTAGTAAAGTTAAAGAAAAGAAAATCTTCTGGAGTAGAAAATACACTTCATTTATGTTTTTAGATTAATTTTTTATTGTTTTTAGTCATTTGCATGTGAGCGTGTGTGAGTGTGGGTAAGTGTACACGAGCGCAGGTGTCAACAGAGGTTGGACTCCCCCACCCTGGAAGTGGAGTTCCAGGCCAATGAACTGCCAGACCTGGGTGCTGGGAACTGAACTCTGGTCCTCTGCAAGAGCAGTATACACCCAGCTGCTCAGCAGTTCTTCATCCCTTCATTTCTGTTTGTGATTCTGCCCAAATTCTTTCATTTGGCTTTCAGTTAAACTGAAGAGTTGGTAGAAAACAACAAACAAAGGATTTTATGGGTTTGCTCATTAGTTTAAAATGATAATTTAGGCACTTAGCATGAAAATAGTTCAACTTTTCTAAGACTTCCAAAATATGAACATCTGTCCTCCCTGGTGGGCATGGGGTATCTGCCCCCTATACTCATCCAGTTGCTCAGCACAGAGGTAACTTCGTGCCCTTTGGATATTGGTAGGTGAAAGCATTTATAATACTCATCTCTTGGTATCCACAGGGGATCAGGCCCAGATCCCACAGGAACATGGATTGCAGTGATGCTTGAGTTCCCTGTATAAAAATGGTACAGTGTTCACATACAACCTACACATTTGAGATTACTTAGAGTAGATAAATATTTGTACTGAATTGCTTACGAAAATAATGACAAGAAGAAAAGTCTGTACATTTTCAGTACAAATAACGAATTTAAAAACCATTTGAAACCTGTGATTGGTGGAATCTCTTTGTGGGACATACAGATACGGAATGTGAGGGTCTGGCTGTTGTATTAAGTGTACATGCAGCTAGGCAATGGTCTCTTAATTTAAACCTGAGATTATTAGTTTCCTTCCCTCGGAATGAGCTCATTACAGCACCATGTCACGGCCATTGGCACACTGCTAATTTCTTAAAACAGTCACTTCCTCTGAAGCAGAACTCACCCGATGGCAAACTTACAGCCTAGCCAGCTACTGCTTGTGCGGTGCCTACAAAGGAAGCCGAGTACAGCTGGCTAAGACCATGGCTGGCGACAGGAGCGGGCAGCGTAAACGTTATCATTGGGGGAAGCTGAGGAAAGGGTGCACAGGTCTTTCTGAATCGGTTCTTACAACTGCTTACGACTCTGAAATTGTCTCAAAGCACAGAGGATCATTACGAAAGAAGCCTGACACTGGGAACTTGTGGGCAGTGGAATTAGGATCTCCCTGTGCTCTTAGTCGGTCATTTAATTAAACCAGAGAATATTAGAGTAGGTAAAATATTGGGTTATATGGTCCAAATCTCTTATTTTAAGATCGGGATACAAGATCAAGGGGGAATCATATGTGTATAATATATATATGTATATATATATATGTATATGTAGACATATATATGGCTACCACACACACACGCGGCTACACACACCACATATAATTCATCTTAAACAGAGCAGCGAAGGAAACCTCACATGTAGGTTGGTTACTCTGTGACAGTCACTGCTGAAGCAGTCTGCGGCCACGGCCTTTTTCAATTCTTCAGAATTCTTGTGAGTATTATTGTTACTTTACAGTCGGAGAAATTCAAGCTCATGTAAATCACAGAATTAACTAGTGATGGGATCTGAATCAGAGTCCTCTGTGCTAGGCCAACTTTCAAGCTGCACCCACTTCTATCTTTCATTCAGAATTAGTATTCTACTGCAGCCCCCAAACAAACCCAAATTTAAACAAACCTTTTAAAATGTCTTTATTACATGTGATGTTCTGCTATGTCCTTTAGTCTTATTCTATTATATTTTAATTTTTTCTTTTATTGAAAATAGATTTTTCATGCAATATATTCTGATTGTAATTTCCCTTTCCGCCGCTCTTCCCAGTTCTTTCCCACCTCTCCTCCCTTCCTGATCTACACCCTTTCTGTCTCTCATTAAAAAACAAAGAAGCTTATAAGGAAAAATAATAAAACAAAATAATATAGGATAAGATACAACAAAAACCAAACTGGAATAAGACTAAACAAACAGAAGAAAAAGAGACAAAGAAAAAGCACAAGAAACACACAGATGCAGAGACACACGTGTTTGCGCGCATAAGAATCCTATAAAAACACAAAACCAGAGCCATAAAATACATGCTCAAAGGACCTGTAAGGTAAAAGAATAAGAAGTTCCCTGAGACAATGTATGAGATAAGGAACCTCTTAAAGTGCCCCTGAGTTTGTTTTGTCTTGGCCTTTTACTGTTGGGCATGGAGCCTACCCTTGAGAGTACCTTGTTTCCCCAATGAGACTCCCTTGGAGAAAACTAATTTTTCATTGGCAGTGGTTACCAGTTGGAGATTGCTTCTGGGTTAGGGATGGAAGCAGGTGTCCACTTCTCCTTTCAACTCCAGGGCCCCGTCTGGTGCAGACCTGTACAGGCTCTGCGCATGCTGCCTCAGTCTCTGGAAGTTCATATGTGTGCCAGTTCTGTTGTGTTTAGAATGCCTTGATTCCTTGGTGTCCTCCATTTTCTCTGGTCCTTAAACTCTTTCCATTTCCTCTTCCAAGTGTTCTCTGACTCCTGAGGGCAGACATTTGATGGAGGCATCCCATGTAGGGTTGAGTGTTCCAAAGTCTCTCACTCTCTGTGATTGTTCGGTGTTGGGTCTCTGTATTTGTTCCCATCTAGTTCAGGAGGAAGGTTCTCTGATGATGATAGCTGAGCAGTGCACGGATCTATGAGTACAGCAGAATGCCATTGCCATTAGGAGTCATTTTGTTGGTATGTTCCTTTAGCAGAATGGAAGTATTTGGTTTTCCTCTAGGTCCATAGGCTCTCTAGTCTCAGGTTCTTGGTCATCCAAATAGCGTTGTGTATGGGTTCCATTTTGCGGAATGGACCTTCAGTCAAATCAGATACTGGTTGGTGACTCCCACAGGCTTTGTGCCACTATGGCATTAGCACATCCTGCAGGCAGGACGCTGTTGTAGAGAGAAGCATTTGCGTCTGGCTGGTGTTTACCTTTCTCCTTTGTATTATGCAGAGTACCTTCAGCACCATGAACACCAGTTTGTAGGGGTGAAGGCTTTACGTAGGCAGCACCTGAACTAACTTCTCCCTGTTCCACGAGTTGTGAAGGTGTTGCGTTCAGAAACAGGATCTTGCCATCAGTTTGAGAAGAGCACCAATAGCCTTGGCAATAGCTGGGGTTGTTTGGGGTTTCCCGTGGGACCCCTTTGGCCAACAGCTCAATTTGATTTAATCCATTCCCAGTACTGGAAGCTTCATTGGGTGATGAGACATGTCCAGTTGGGGCTCTGCTTCCCCCATTATTTGGCAATTTCATTTAGATCAACTTCCTATATGTCTATATTTAGGAAGTTTCTACTTTATTAGATTTTCAAATGACCCCTCAAAGTGGCCTCTGGTTTTGGCTATCCCTCCCTGTATTCTCTCTTATCCCCTCCTCCCTCTCCCTCCCTGTTTGATCCTCCTGTTCCAGTCCCTCCCCCTCATAGAGCCATAACTATCTATTCTATTTCCCCTTCTTAGGGAGATCCATCCCTCCCTTCCATTCAATTCTTAAAAATCCACTAGAATTGATTTTATAGTTTATCCCTGGCTTGTGACTCAGTTTGAAAAACTCAGGATGTTATTTCCCCTTCGCTTTGTTCCTTCTGGTAACACTTTGGAGGAGACATTCTTTTCAGTGCTGTCCAAAAGTCCTCCTCGTTGTTCTGCCAAGACCTTGCATGCGGAATTAAAGGAAATGTTGTCCTGGTTAGCTTTGCTTATTTAAATTTATAATGGCACAAACAGAAGACTGTAACCTGATTTCTCCCATGACCTTAAGTCATTCAAGGTCCCCTACCTCCTCTTTTTTTCCTCTTTCTTCCTGACCACATTCCCAGGAGGGGGCAGATAGACCCTTCAAATCGAACCCTGTCATTTTCTGAGCTGATAGGTGGTTTGCTGTTTGAGGAAACTCCAAGGCCATGTCTATAAGAGGCAAATGT